AGCCCTCCAGTGGCCAAGGGTCCCACAGTCGCTTGCAGTATGTGGGGGGGGGGCTTCCTCTCACCCGACGCCCCCTTCCCACAGGCCCGCCTTCGGGGGAAGCTCTCCCTCGTTGGCCACCCCGGCCTTCTGCCTCCCTCTCCCTCACCCTTGTTCCTCACCTTATCCGACGACTTCCATCCCCTCACACATACGACGGAGCCAGGCCTCTCAGGAGCGCATAGGCTTCTTCCCAGAAAACCCCGCTCGTCTTCACCAACTTCCTGTTCCGGACCGGCACGGAAATGACTGAGGAGACGGGGTGACGTCAGCGGCTCTCTCAGTTGCCGAAAGCGTCCCTAGAAGCCCTGCTCGCGCGACTTCCGGTTCCTCGCGCTTTGCCTGGAGGGGGGGCGCGCGCGACGGAGTCTTTCCTTTCCCAAAAAGGCGGGAAAGCGTTGGGGGCTTTAAAGGGCCTTTCTGTGACCCCCGCGGCCTATCTGCCAGGCCTGGTGCCGGAGAAGCCTGAGGCAAGCGCTTGGAGTCGCCCCAAAGCAGGCCACGGAGGGCCCTCTCGCTCCAGCTCTGACTCACCGCCTGGGAGTATCGTCCTGCGAAGGCCTTTCGCCCTGAAGCAAAGTAAGGACTTCATCACATTGAGCTGGAGAAAACGAGGGAAACCATGCAAACCTTTGGGCTGTTCTAAAACAAATGGGAGTACCACAACATTTGATTACTTTGATGTGTAAATCAGGCTCTGAACAAAGTAGCCACTATCAGGGCATAGTATGGCAAAACAGAATAGGCTCCAATCAACAGGATGTTCATTCAGATAAAGGCTGGATATTATCACCTTATATTTTTAGTTTATGCACAGGACGTATCATAACAATAGTAAACTTTGGGTTGTTGTAGGTTATTTCGGGCTATATGGCCATGGTCTAGAGGCATTCTCTCCTGACGTTTCGCCTGCATCTATGGCAAGCATCCTCAGAGTTAGTGAGGTCTGTTGGAACTAGGAAAAAGGGTTTATATATCTGTGGAGTGACCAAGGTGGGACAAAGGACTCTTGTCAGTTGGAGCTAGGTATGAATGTTTCAACTCACCACCTTGATTAGCATTTATTTATTATTTACCTTACTTATATACCGCTGTTCTCAGCCCGAAGGCGACTCACAGCGGTTCACAACAAATACGAACAGCAAAAATTCAGTGCTACAGTATAAAAACAGTTAACAATCTAACACATTACACAATTAATAAACAGTTACTACAATACCCATTCACTGTCGTCTCATCATCAAAAACATGTTCCAGATTCGTCATCTATTGTTCCATTCCAGTGTTCATTAACCAATCATTGCACTAATTATTCGAACGCCTGCTCAAACAGCCAGGTCTTCACTTTTTTGCGGAATACCATTAGAGATGGTGCTAGTCTAATGTCCATAGGAAGGGCGTTCCACAGCCGAGGAGCCACCACCGAGAAGGCCCTATCTCTCGTCCCCGCCAGCCGTGATTGAGAAGCAGGCGGGATCGAGAGCAGGGCCTCCCCGGAAGATCTCAAAGTCCTGGTGGGTTCATAGGCAGAGATGCGGTCGGTTAGGTAGCTTCACTTTTGATGGTCTGGCAGTTGTTTGGTGTGGCTTGTTAGTGCCTGGGGTAATCTTTTGTTTAGAGGTGATTAGGTGTGCCTGATTGTTTCCTCTCTGTTGTTTTGCTGTTGTAATTTTAGAGTTTTTTAATACTTGCCAGGCCATCAAATGCTAATCAAGGTGGTCAGTTGAAACATTCACACCTAGCTCCAACAGACAAGAGTTCTTTGTCCCACCCTGGCCATTCCTCAGATATATAAACCCATTTTCCTAGTTCCAACAGACCTCACAACCTCTGAGGATGCTTGCCATAGATGCAGGCGAAACATCAGGAGAGAATGCCTCTAGAACATGGCCATATAGCCCGAAAAAAACCTACAACAACCCAGTGATTCTGGCCATGAAAGCCTTCAACAATACAATAGTTAACTTTATTTATATCCCGCTGTAATGAAATGTCTAATTAAAAATGGAGGTTTTACATATGTTTATTGATATTATGATATAGGTGCAGCTGATGGGTAGACTGACCTAAGCTGATGGGTAGCCTGAGCTAAGGCATTGCCATAGCAACATAGCCCTCCAGGCAGAAGAGAAAGGGGCGGAGCTAACTGCCACTGCTTGAAAAGAGTCAGTTGGTGGCCAGATGAACCAAAGGATGGTTGGTTCTAGTTGTGTGGAGCTAGACCAAGTAGTTCTCTGACAGGTAGTCAGAAGGAAAAGGTGGCTCCAGGTAGTGACCCAAGTGTTTAATCTTCAGTGTTGAGTAATTAAGGGTAGAAGTATTTAAGTCTGTAGTATAATCTAGCCTAGTTGCTAGAAGAAAGAGATTCCAGGTAGTTTCATTTATGACTTTAGTGTCAAGCCTGAAGCAATAAAAGTGGGACTGAGAAAAGAAACTAAGTTTCAAAGAAAAGAAATAACAAACATTAAGGAGAGAGAAGATAAGCCATTGTTAAAAATTTAATAGTAACAGTTTCATGTTCTCCGAAGAACCAACAGTTAAAAAACAGTTTTAAAAAAAACCGTCAAGCTTATGTGAACCTGAGAAACCTTTAAATAAATGTTGTTTCTGATCAGTTCAAAATACGGAGTGTTTGTGACTACTTATTAAGGAGAAGTTTCTCCAGGAAAGAGAAGATGAGATCTTGTGGAACCGAAGACAGTTTTATGGCACTGGGATACATATATTAAAGTGACACAAACAGGTGTCCTAGAAGTCATCTCTCTCATATAAACCCCACTCTTTATATATATATCTTGGGCTCCTCATATTATTATTATAAGTTTATAATTGGAGGCAGAGGTGAGATAAGAAAAACAAGATCCATCCTGCCTCGCGACAGAAGTGTTTGCCCTACTTTTGTTTACACCCGCCCTATCTCAGACTCGGGGGGGTTTCCAACAAATAACAGCAAAGCTGCAATGCCGTAATAATAAAGACATTGCTATAAAATTTAAATAATGACATTACAAAAATTACATTACACATCTAACAATTGAAAGACAAGACGTAGGATTAAAGCTAGTGGCAATATAAAATTGAACATGGAGTCCATTCAGATCTGCCTTTCATAATAAGAATAATAATTGTTATGCCATGACTTGGAAACTCCAAATGGGATGAAATGGTACGTTAGTGAGGAATTGCCAGCATTTTTATTATGGAGGTGGAACATTCAGGTATAGTAATTACTTTGGATGCCTGAATATATGTCTATGTGATTCATGGCCTGTTTCAAAATTGAGAAGGGGACATTTCAGGATTTTTAAGGAAGATTAAAATGCCATCAACATATAGAGCTGTTTTATGACAGCAGCAATAAACTTGGGTCACATGACGTTAGCCATAGAGAAAGTAACTATAATCAGAGATTGTAACATTATTTTTAAAGGAATTGGTAACTTTCCATGGAACTCTCAGTTCCGGGACTGTGGCGCAGCTGGCTGAGTGTCAGCTGCATTAAGATCACTTCTGACCAAAAGGTCATAAGTTTGAAGCCAGCCTGGGTCGGAGTGAGTTTCCAACCAATTGTGTACCTTGTTGTCGACCTTTGCAACCCAAAAGACAGTTGCATCTGTCAAGTAGGAAAATTAGGTACCACCTTTGTGTGGGGAGGCTAATTTAACTAATTTATGAGGCCATAAAAAGACTCCAGCAAGCATGCGGGGAATATAGAAGTACTTCATCAGTGTCGCAGATGGAAGATGAAAGCGACAGTTCCCCTGGCGGCCAGAAAAAGTTAAATAGCCTCTGACTGTCTGTCTATATCTGTTGTGTGTCTTTGGCATTGAATGTTTGCCATATATGCATACATTGTAATCGGCTCTGAGCCCCCTGCGTGGTGAGAAGGGTGGAATATAAATACAGTTAATTAATTAATTAATTTCTGCTGAGTAGCGTTAACAAAACACTCATTGCTAAATCATCACTCTTGTTCTTACTATTGTAGCAATCATATGAAAAGCTGGATTAAAATTGGACAAAGGAGGTCTGGCAACTAGAGGATCTTTGTCTTTTACTTTACTGGGCTTTGATACTTCTTTGGCCATATCTACACTAACCACTTAGGTCAGTTTGAGGTGCAATCAGCCCCATGGTGGATAAATGCCACAGGGCTGTTCTGGGTTAACCCAGGTTAAACTCACTTGGGGATCAACAGGAATCCTCAACAGCCATTCCACACCCTTCGGGCTCAAAATGCAAACTTTTGTGTATTTTAGAATTATAAGAGACAAGGGCTTGTAACTCATCTTCCCCACCTTTCGTTTCTCCTCCCCCCCACCTCCCGCGCAATGAAATTTGTCTTATTACATGTATGCTCRTCTGCTATTCTCAGGTCAGGAATTCACTCCCAGTTGAAAAGAGCACCTCCATTTTGAAATACAGGGTGASGCAGCATAACTTACTTTTTTWAAATGCGCGCCATTCAGTCAGTTGAAGACGTAGCGGAGCGCTACTGGTCTCATTCGAGAGGCGGGAGTATAAAGTTTTGTCCTGACAGTTCAGTCGCCATCATGCGTTGGAACAGTGAGGAGCGTTCTTTTGCCATTGAGGCCTATTTTTCAAGCAGATTTGGAGCGGCCYGCCCGCTCTCCAGATTTGGRCCCTTGTGATTTTTTTCTATGGGATTTTTTGAAATCCCCCGTTTATGTGAACCGTCCAAGGACCCTACAAGATTTGAAGACCAACATCCAGGAAGAAATTGCCAACATAACACCTGCTATGCTGACAAGAGTCATGACAAACACCAGGAAATTGTTTTGAGGAGAGGGAATATTTTGAAGCCATGGATGACCYAATCTATGTATACAGAATCTGTGGATATGTCGGGCTAACAGTACTCGTGTATCTTGAAACCCTTTGAAATCTTGATTTGTTTGGAGAACTTTCCTTCAGGAACTGTGAGGATATGCTAAGAGATGTTTAAGAAAAGTAGTTTTATTGTATATGATCTATGCAAACAAGCAAATCATGATATCATTTTCCAATCACAATTTTTGTACAACAAACACAGCATCCTAGACTATAGCAGACTAACTGAAGCCAGATGTGGCCTCTGTTGAATTGTTCTGTTCAGCAAAATATGTAGACAACTCTTTCAGTGCTTTGTAACGATGAGAGATAGTGTTTTTCACAGACTTAGGTAATTCAGCATACCTGGGAAGGATAAGAAGAGAACACATTTATCAGAAACTGGGGCAGTCCAGTAATTCTATAGCAGAATTATGATGTGTTTAAAGCTGCAAACCACAATAGCCTTCCAAACGTTCTATGTTGGTGTCACACTTTTTAGACATGTGTCATTTTGTGACACCTTATTTCAGTTTTACATGTAAACCAGAAAGGTGTGTTCTTCCTCAAACTTGGCACTTGCTTGAAATTCACCCCCCCCCCTCCCCACTTCCAATATGCCTGCTGCAAGCCCCCTCTGTACAAGTTCCCTGGGTGGCGAAAGGCCCAGTGGTGAAAAGGAGAACCACAAGGAGTGGGTTCAAATTTTGCCAGACGATGAAGCTCGCTTCCAGCTTGCCGGACTCGGTCATCCCTCCTCAGCAAACCTGACAGCGGGGTAGGGAGGGACGGTAAGCACGCAATCCATACTATAGTGGGAAGCACTGCTTTTGCTGAATCTATCCCATTGTGAAAACTGTGTTGTGTATCCCTTTGAAGGAAAGGCAGCACACGTGGTGGGCAAAACCACAGCTGTGGGAGGGAAAGGGTAGGACTGGGAGAGAGGTGTCGAGAAGAGATGCTGAGTTAAGTTGAACTGAATGGGAAGGCGCAAATGGAAACAACCAAGCAGAACGGCGAGATGTCTCACAGCCTGCAAGGCTCAGCAGATCAATACTCCACCATATTGAGTTCCTGCCATTCCTCACACCAGGTGTGACACACCTTAACATTGCAACTGACACACAAATGTATTGCTACACACCATTTGGAAAGCTCTGGCCTAAACAGTGAGTTCTCCACATGTGTTACAGTGCTATGGGATATGTCTACATGAAAATTTCACTGCTATCAATATACATAAGCACACCCGTTAGCATCTTATTTAAATCTATAGCACACAAACTAGCCAGGATAGTTTTACTAGGCAATTCTGTCTGTTGAAAGCAGTGAGGAGGCAAACAGTCACTTACGTCTTATCATAACCCTCTGGCTGGAAGCATGGATCCCATCCAAAGTCTCTAGGTCCTCTTGGGTCAACTATATGCCCCTGTAAATTGATACATACGGTAAGGAATATTTTATGATCTGGGTTAATATATGGTACCTGGCACAAGGTCAAAATTAGCTATATTTGATTGCTGAAAATTTATGAGGTGCAGATAAGCAGAGAAAACAGGATAGTATTTTTACATATCAGCGTCCTTCAAAGCCACCTATAAAATTCAAACCAGAGTGTGCTCAAGAAGAAAGTGGATACATAAGGACAATTGAAATATAAGGAGAGCAGATTGTTCTAAATTGCTACAGACGTTAACCAAATGATAACAGTGTTCAGCTGAGCCTCTCTGTTCTTTCTTGCCAGTGGCATGAAAACTTGACAATGAGAACATGACTGGACCGCATACATTTCACCTAGACACAGGAGGCACTTACTATATCAATATCAGGCATTTTGCCCTCACACTCCACACGTGGCAGGAAACAGTGGCAATAGAAACAGACAGATCAGGTGAAGCCAAAAAACCATAAGAAACAAAAGCCAAATTAAATAACCATAGGAGGAAGCAAAAAACAAAAAACGAATAAGAAAAAAACAAGAAAAAGTGGAATATAGCAAGACCAAAAGCAAGAATGAGGTTCCTAATGGAGCTACTGCAGTGGGGGACAAAAAGGTAATCGGGATTTTGAGAGCAAGTAGCTATTTATGGGTACAGTTACTGTCAAAAATATACCTTTAAATTCTACAAGGTTCCAAAAGAGCTCTGTGCAGGTTCAGATTAATGCACTGCGTGATTCACAGACCACGAAGCATGAGCCCTGATATATCTCTGGATCTGCTGTGCTCAAATTCTTACCCTTTATATGGCAGGGTTATCATTTTGGTTCCTCTGTAACAGCCCCCCCCCCCCCCCCCAATCACCACTAAGGCCCACAGGACAGATGCAGTCATTTGCTCTAAGTCTGAAACAACTGGAAGGAACACAACAACAATCCTAACTAACTTGACTATCACATCAGTCAAAAGCAGATCAACACTTCCCATTGTAATACTGGTAAGTTTATGTTGGTTAAAATTGTTTTTCATTTTAAATATTCTTTCATGATTTTGTTGCACTACAAATAAGATATGTGCAGAGTGCATAGGAATTCATTGTTTGTTTGTTTTCAAACTATAGCCCCTCAACAGTCTGTCAAACAGATATGTCAAAACTTTTCCTTCCCAAACTGGCAGAGATTCTCCCACAAATGAACAGGATAGCTGAATGTAGCATAGTGCTTAAGAGGAGTTACGAGTATTATTTTCACATCTGCCATAAACTTGGAAGGTGACTTTAAGGAATTGCCTATATCTGCCCAAGAAAATACTGAGCCCATATGTGAAAGACATTTTAGAAGATCATATTTTACTGTTCAGCTGAAAACGGAACAGCACCAGCAATGCAACTCACTGAACTAGTTGTCCGCCATACTAGTTGTTTTGTGACCTTATGACCTGGCTCTTCCGCTGCGACTTTGGCGAGCACAACATGATGCTATTGCTCCCCTCAACCCTTCTGCCACTGGAGTACATGCCCTCCAAATGGGAAGTTTAGTTTCACAACCCCGTGTGTTTTCACGAGCTCCCTGCTAATAACCTGCTCCTATTTTTATCTCATTAGAGTCTTTTAATCATTTTACCCTGTACATGTGGCCCGCCCACTGTTATTGAGATTGTGTTTACTGGAATGTTATTTTGTTACTGTGTTTATACTTTTTTCTTCTTCTATGTAATTTTGATTATGTTGCTTGTTGTTTATGTGTTGATTTTATTTTGCTGTAACATGTTGTCCTGGGCTTGGCCCCATGTAAGCTACTCCGAGTCCCCATTGGGGAGATGGTGGCAGGGTATAAATAAAGATGATGATGATGATTATTATTATTGTGATCTCATGTGTCAAACTAATAATTTTATTTGCCCACTATGGGCCTTCTTTGCTTTAACATTTACAATTTAGCTGTATTAAAACATGTACGCACATGAGTCTGGCCTTTGAATAGCTTCACTTTGTCCTTTGGATTTCCAGTGCTGAAAGCAAAGGTGCAGAGAGCATAAGCAGACTTGTCTTCAAATCCAGCTAATAGTTTGTAGAGACCTAAACCATAGAAAAGGAGATGTCATATATATATGCTAATACAAAACAGATAATATACAGAACCTAACAGGGAAATATAGAGATTTGGGAATTGGAACAGGATGCCACTTGTAGGCCTAGTTTGGCTCTCAATAACAGCCTCACTTAAACAAACAAAAGCAGAGCTACACACCATGTGTTGTCAGGATTATGTGATTAACCTCAGTTACACTATTTTATAAAGACTATATTCAAAATTTTACATGTTCATTGGTTAATATCTATACTATTACATTTGCCTGCCTGTACAGCAATTGGTTCTTTAATCAAAACATGACATTATGGATATTTGCATTGCTTCTGGTACTAACCAACCTTGGTACCCTCTCTCTTCAACTCCCTACTCCCAAATTCCTATTGCTTAGTCCAGGTGCATGACAAGCTTTTAGCTTTCTCACCTGCCATTCAAGTACAATTTTCATATGTCACAAAGGTCAAGAGCTGTAGAATGTTCTGAATTAGGCCTTTGCACAATCATAAAACCTTTTTGTAATGCACAGAGACCACAAACATGAATTCAGTATTCTGTCTCCCAACATATACTGTGCCCTTAAAGGGCAGAGAAGCCAATCTCAATGCATATGTGTTCTAACAGTATGGTGAAGCAGTTTGGGTGTTTGACTATTTCAACCAAAGTCTTCAGAAAAATCAGAACAATCTATACCTGAGAGACCCAATCAAATGAGCCAGGAATACATAAAAGGAAAGACTGAATTACCTTCTGGATGTAATTTCTCTAGGAACCATTTGCTGAAACAAAAAGACATATACAAATTATTATCTTTATGTTGAGAAATGTAATAAAGTCAAATATCAACAAACGTGTTACAAGTTGGAAAACCCAAGTAATACCCACTAAATAAATCTAGCATTCATCAGCTATTTATATAATACACATATGGGTTGCCTTTTAGATATTCCAAGGCAGTAAATAGTCTGAAATAAAAAGATAATTAGTAAACCTACAGAAAGAAACAGCTGAGAATTTGCAATACAAAAATTTATTAGAATGCAGCAGAGGCATGAAAACATGAAAATCAAAGGTCCTATCCAGGTATCCTTTGGGAACGACCTTGCAGACGGTCAATTCTCTCACAGCAGAAATGATTTGCAGTTTCTCAAGTTGCTCCTGACACACAAAATGGTCTCATGATACAGAAAGCCCTCTTTCAGTACCCCTCAGGTGGTGGGGGATCCACAAATGGGCCTTCAGAATAATAAACGATTTAGTCAGGCTAATACTATCAAGTAGCCAGGTTCAAGCTGTCTGAATCTTTATATCTACTGCCTAGAAAAAAAGGTCCCATGATACAGAAAGCCCTCTTTTCAGTACCTCTCAGATGGTGGGGGATCCACAAATGGGCCTTCAGAATAATAAAAAATTTAGTCAGGCTCATACTATCAAGTAGCCAGGTCCAAGCTGTCTGAATATTTATATCTACTGCCTAGAAATTTGAATTGTGCACAAAGGCAGGCTACCAGTGAATGCAGATGAAGGCTGAAGTCTCATATATGTGTAGGCATTACAGTTGTCATGCAGCAGCTGCATTTTTAACACTTAAAGTTTCTAAGAATTTCAAAGACAAACTAATGTATCTTACAGCACAAAAGCTCAGTCAAGAAATTAGTAGGAATTAATGAATGGAAATTGGATACAAATGCATGCTTGAATTCCTCATAGCTTCTATTCATTTCACAGAAAAATTAAGGCTAGCACTAAATGGACTTAGTTATATTGATTCCTTACATATACTGCAATCAATGATTGCAGTAAGTACAAAGTATGGGTTTTGACCTTTAAAGCCCTACATGGTTTGTGTCCAGGTTACTTACAGGATCGTCTTCTCCTGTATAATCCACCTCTTAGGACACTGAGGTCCTCTGTGAGGCAACTGCCCAAACAGCCAGAACCTGACTGGCAACCATCACCCAGTGGACCTTTTCATCAGCTACCCCAAAACTGTGGAATGACCTGCCGGAAGAGCTCCAACAGCTAAATCAGCCATAAGAATTCAAAACTCAACTGAAGATCTATCTCTTCTGGCAGACCTACCTAATCAATTTAAACTATGAATTTTAAGGTCATGTCTTGTATCTGTTATATTTTAATCTTTGTTATATGTATTTTAATTGCAGATATTGTATGTTTTAATATATGTATTTTACTGAATGTGTTATGATGTGTTTTAACTATACTGTGCCCTGCCTTGAGCTCTAAGGAGAGGTGGGCAACAAATTATAATAATTATATTAATAATTATAAATGAGAGATTAATACTCATTGTGAATGGTAATTCTAGTGAGGCTGTGCACATAGTTAATCCCTCAAGACAGGATCTTTAGAATTCTGAAATGTTATTTCTATTGTGCCCTATTACCCCTCTTCTGTTTTGTTATATAGCCTTGCAGACTCCTTATGTAGCTCAGAGAAGATTGCACTTCCTGTATATTTTCAGACAATAACAGCAAATGCTAAGAGCTTACAGATTACAAAGAATTGTGGGATTTAAAAAATATGCATGCTTTCAGCTAACCGTTTATGCATACTTACATATATGGCCCTGGGAGTCCTCCAAGAGCATTAAAACACAAACAAGTATCTTCTACTATAACTGGTCCCTGAATCTGTGAAAAGATAATACAGTGAAGGAGAGATCAGAACTGTAAATTGGATCCACGAATAAAGAACAAGACTACTACTAGTTATGAACTATAGCAAGCTAAAATAAAGCTTCCACATTCCAGCAGAACACATTTTTGTTACTAAACAGTGAAAACAATCACCAAGGACTGAGAAAAAACACAAATCCCACTTTGTTTGTCAACATCACATGGCCAGACATGAAATTAAAATTAAACCAAAAGATTACTGGTGCCTTAGATATTTATTTGAAATATTGTGTCCCACTCTTAAGCAACTAAAGGCCTACAAAATAATTAATTCTATCATGTAGATTGCATGCAATAGTCGCATGTCTTTTTTGTCACTCCTGATTATTTAGGTTTTTTTAAACAGCAGATCATTTCTATTACATCCTTGCACATTAAGTACATAATTTAACATTAAGAGAGTCAATAACTCCTGTAACAATAATGATTACTTGCAGCTCAGCTGAATATGTATCTTATTTTATACATTATGATGAGATAGACCAACTCTCAAAAGGCTTAAGGAAAGCAGTGTATTTTTTAAAAGAAAGAAGATTTTTAAGGGCTGCTGGCTTTGGGATTCCTATTATTGCTAAGGAGTGTCAAAGTTCAGAGTAAAGGACCTGTTTAGCTGCTTCTTGGCACTTCTGGATAGAAATGTCATCAGGCTCCCCTTGGTACTCAGGCACTAGAAAAGGAAAAGTCGTGGTTACCACAGAGTAAGAGCTATTCAGAACGTAACGAAATAAGAAGGTAGAGACTCACAGTCTATTTTCTTTGCAACCAGTTTGCCGGGAAAGGAATCACCTAGGATCTGAATCACCTGCAAGATAAAAGGCACAAATAATCAGTTGGTTTCCACCAGCTTCATGGTCACATACCCCCTGCAAAGAACAACATCACCTTGTGCCTTTCAAATCTCTGGCAGTAACATTTAACTCTAGTGCAATGTTTCTAAGGATTTTTTTAAAAAATGTTTCCCGTAACACTATGTAACAAAATTTGAAAAAAAAAGTATGCTCCTGGCTTGTTACTTCCTGTTTAACTGTGTAGTACTTACTTTGGAAGTGCTTGTTATACTCCAGAAATACCGTATTTATGGCTGCCACAAACTATATTGAGCTGGTTGAGACTCTTATGAGATAGTAATTGAAAAACTGTACAAAATGTGTTGAAGAATGTCCCACCAAAACAAAGCTTTTGCAGTTGAATAAACTTTTTCCATGTGTTTACAATAAAACCAATTAGGAAATAGCATTTATAACACAGGAACAAACAATTGTGTTACACTGTGTAATTTGTATTCTGTTGCCAGGTGTTAACAAAAACAGTAGTAGACAGTGAACATTCATGATATGCAAGGTTGTGGAAGCTTGTGCTCTATCTAAACACCAAACTAGGTTGACTTAAACTAGTTCTGTAAAATTAATATATTTAACACAGACTACACAGAGATGCCATTGCAATCCACAAGCATGTGGACAATTTTCAACAAAAAGGAGGAAACCATGAAAATGAGTAAACTCTGGCTACCAGTATTTTAAAAAAGAACAGAATCAAGACAGCAAATAAAGAATACTAATCAGAAACAGGAATTCCAGACAGCCAATAATCAAGTGCCAGTTAACACATCCCAAAGAGAGGATGCCTCCAGGTAACAACAGCCAGGCTTTGAAACTGTAAGGCTACTCAATGCTAATCAAGCTTGCCAACTGCAACTTTCACACTTGCTCCAGCAGACAAGAGTTCTTTCCCCCAGCCTGGACACATTTATGTACACTCCACTTGCCTCGTTTCCAAGAGACCTCACAAACTGTTGAAGATGCCTGCTGCATATGCAGGTGAAACGTCAGGAGAGAGTGCTACTAAGGCATTGCCATACTGCCTGAAAACCTCATAGCAACCTAGTGATTTTGGCCATGAACGCCTTCGACAATACATTTGCTTTTTACTCACAACTAAAATATTGGGGGGGGGGGGGTGACCACTCATCTCATCTAGTCTATATATAAGGAAAAGCCTTCCAATCTATATAAATAAAAATGTAATGTTCGTGGGATTAACAGAACTCAAAAACCACTGGACGAATAGACATCAAATTTGGACACAAGACACCTAACAACCCAATGTATGTCCTTCACTCCAAAAAAACGATTTTGTCATTTGGGAGCCTGACACATATGCAGGTGAAARGTCAGGAGAGGCATTGCCATACTGCCTGAAAACCTCATAGCAACCTAGTGATTTTGGCCATGAACGCCTTCGACAATACATTTGCTTTTTACTCACAACTAAAATATTGGGAGGGGGGGTGACCACTCATCTCATTTGTTGTACTTGCTGAGATTTATAGTTCATCTACAATCAAAGAGCATTTTAAA